CACATGACTATTGTGATTAGATTTTTTAGTGATGAACTTTAGACTTTGATGATAAATTTCGTTGATTTTTCAGTGGTAGGGCCTGTGGATTTGGCTGTGGATCGATGTGCTTGGCCGGTGATGCTTTGCCCGCCGAGGGCCCCACCTAATCTTGTGAGGGACGCTGGGCCCGGTTCCCAGCTTTTATAAATGTTGTCCGTTTAAGGAAAAAAAAAAAAAAAAAAAGTTCAGTAAACAAGATAAGAATCATACGATATGATTTGTTTTTGGGAAAATTGCATCTGTACCCCACTTAAAAAGATGGGAATAATAATAATAATAAAAAAATAAAAAAAAGAAAAGATGGGAATACCCGCTATAACTTGCATCTATACCCAGACCCTGTCCAACATAGGGTAATACCCTACTTTTCCTGTGTGCCAACTTATACGCGTACCCAGTCCCACAGGCCTTTGGTTGGGGAGCACAAAATTATGCTTATGCCCAGGAACCGGGCAGGCAAAAGTGGGTATGCACATAATTTGCCTGGGTGTGTGCATTATTAGCATTCCGGTAGTTGGGGGTATAACTGCAATTTGGCAGTACCAACCTTGGCCCTCATCCGTCCTGGGTATACAGATAATTTGCACAGACAACTTTTCGGGTACTGATGCAAGTGTGACACCACGGCAGGGCTGGGTATAGAGGGTACTCCCATCTTTAAATGGGCCACAGATGCAATTTTCCCTTGTTTTTTTAATAGATATAGTTACAATTTGCAGTTTCCATTTCCATCTCCTCTCTAAGGGCATACTCACACTAGCATCTCCTAACTGTATCTGACTGGAGTTACGGCCAGACCTACATGCATCTGCCCATAATCACATCCAGATTCCAGAGCTATGTCATAAAAGTCCTCGTCTGAGCATTCCCCAAGTGAAATTTGAAAAAGTGCTTTTTTTTTTTTTTTTCGTTGTAAAGTTATAAACTAATATAAAGCTATTCAGGGTTACCTGACCGAACGTTCGGGGGCCCCCGGGCTGATTACCTGACCGAACGTTTGGGGGCCCCCGGGCTGGCCCCCGAACGTTCGGGCGTTCGGGGTCCCGTTCGGGGGCCGAACACCTCCAGGTTCGGCCGCCGCCAAAAACAATTTCGGGGCCTAAAAATAAGTTTTTTTTCTGATTTTTTTTTCGTGAGTTCTCTATGATGTAACCTACACGCCTATAAATTTAGAAGCCATTCTGCTAAGCCAAAAAAACATTAAAAATCGTCAAAGATGGGGGGGGGGTCAAAAAGTGCTCGCCCACTCACTATTTTGTTTTTTTTCACTTTTAACTTTTTGTTTTCACTTTATTTCGGGGCCTAAAACATTTTATTATTTTTTGAAAACTTTCTAATGAGTTATTGATTATGTAAACTACATATCTGTAAATTTTCAGGGCATTTGTCAATGCCAAAAAAAATTAAAAATCGGCAAAGATGGCGGTGTCGAA